ACCTTCTTTTATTTTCCCTTCTTAATTTATGTTCTGGGGGTGGGGGGGGGGGAGGGAGAGAGCTGGCCCTTTGTTGCTTGTTCGAGACCATCGGCGGAAGAGCAGAGAAACTTAGGGACTGGACAAGGACGAATAAAATAATCTAATCATCCGTCCACATATAATATGTCCGCCTACATGTGACATACATATTATATGTGCTGATTTTGGTCAGTCGGCAAAGAATGGCAGATATTGATATATTTTTTGTGTCGTGTACGTTGTGCTGGGCTGTCTTCGTAAGGCACAGAGAGAACGGAACGCTGCTGACCGGCGGGCATACAATCAATGTCAATCTGTTCCAAAGGGTCTCAACAGAACAACTGTCCGCTGCAGAAGCGCTGCCACGTGCCCGGTTGCAGTCTATGTATCCTTCTGGGCGCGGTGGGGAAAAGGAGAGAGGGCAACCGTACACTTGAAGAACAAAATGTAAGCAACATGGTTAATACCGTGTGGTCGACAGAAAGAAAGAAGGACGACGGGTAGCAGGAGGGTGAACCACCGGTGGCGGAGGCGTGTGGGTGTGGTGGTGTCGATTTGGTTGGTGCGCAGTCACAAAGCTTGACGGGGCGAAAGCAATCCTTTACCTTGTAGTGTGGAGGTCTGGATATGGAGATTCAGGGAGCACAGATACACCTACATTAAGAATAGGATCTGAGGGATACCGAGAGTTTTGCTCAAAACCCACGAGAAAATCTACAAATTGCTTTCAAACTACAGTAGCGCGAAGAAACCTCACGGAACGTGCAGAGAAGCAAGCTGCGAAAAACGAAAAGTTACCGCAGTACCCCGTCTTTAAACCTGGTCAAGAAGTACTCGTATACCGACCACACACACACAACACCAGGATTCAGATGGACCAAACCCGAAGCTGTTCTTACCTTGGCGAGGACCGTATACCATCCGCTCACTACTGTCGCCGGTTGGGTGAAGCGAGTCAATGAAACACGAGAAATATCCGTGCACCTTGCCCATCTAAAACAGTGCCGTGCAAAGGAAAAACCACCAGCACCACAGTTTGAAATCTGACTGAATATTTCCTTGGAAAACAAATTCCCTTACCTGCCCTGACAGCAAACGACGAAAATCAACCGAAAATTGAAAGATACGTCGTACTGAAAGTGGTAGGGCATCGAAGCGGTCAAGGCCGAAAAGGTCCGCACAACTATCGATATCGTCTAAGACTGAAAGGATACGGTCCTGAATCAGATCTGATGTTCGTGCTGACGAAGTGCCGCAATGCCACGAAATGATTTCCGCATACCGATCAGAACATGATCTGGACATCGCGCCCGCCAAGAAATCGTCCGACGCGCCACAGAAAATAGCGAAACTCAAACGTGACGAAGGTAGGGATCCGAGTACAAACAAACGCGCAAAGCACAAAGCAAGGCCAAACAAGCCATGTAACGAGCCAGCAAAATGCGTGAACAAGAAAAGTACTCAGCGGAAAAGTAAAATAAGTCCAAAGGCAAACAAAATATACATTTCCAAAGTGTCTAAACGGTGAAAGGAATAACATCCAAACAAAAAGGTTGCTATCCAGCATTTTGTTGGGTCAAATGCTGGCGAGGAAACGTCAAGTTAACCGGTCTCTAGTGGAATTGAGGGTCGCAACTCGATGACACTAAACATGAGTCACGGAAACAGTCTTAAGACTGTCGAACACCGTATGTATGCCTATCGCACTCAATGAGCAACACGATTGCTTACACCCAGCGGTATGGTTACTACGCGAACCAGAACCCGCACAAAGAACAAATTCTTGATACATCACAAGAAGAATAAGCTTGGACACATTGATTGACATCAATACCTGGTAGCTTTTACGAGCCTTGGAGAGATTCAATCCGTACGGTGTTGATTCCAACACGTGTGTGTGTATTCCACACGGCACTGTCAGCTGTCTTCGGATAGTGAGGGAGGGATGTAATTTTCGAAAAGCGGTATCTGCATCCAATGATACATCCATAATGTACCTGCTCCATTACAATTACCATGCAAACATGCATGTGCGCCAAAACCCAACTTCAACACGCTGAGCTTTCGGCGAAGAAAAAGGGGGGCTATGTGGAGGTCAGGATATGGAGATTCAGGGGGCACAGAAACACGTATACACAAAGAGTACAGATCTGAGGGAATATGTGACAAAAGATTACCGTTTTCCCTGAGGGTCTACGACTCTTGCGATTCCCAACGGCTGCGAAGAGTTGATGAATCTTTAGGAGAATGGGAAAATGGGTCCACGACGGCTCGCCCACTCTCCGCACCACCCTACCCTAGCTTGACTGAGTTCGCTCGGTCACGCTTGGCATTCCTCGCCACATCGCACCACAGGAACTAGCCAACCTCCGGTGGCAGGACACAGCCACCACACACGCATGATTTGTTCCCCCCCCCACCCGGACTCTCCGCTCACCCAGAGTGGAGGGCTCCATAGTAGCGGTCTTTGTCTCTTACCGTCCGAGCTATCGCGCCTGTTATCATACTGTTGTTGTTGACGTTGTCGTCGAAATACGCCAAGAGAACGGCAATAATACGAATGTCCCTCCGTACCAAGCGGTGTGCAGGACAACAATGCTTGCAAAGGTAGACTCATTTATTTATTTGGGGAAAGCTGCCTACCTGCTCTCGCAGCATGGCCATGTGCGCGCACCGTCGGGCTTGCAGCTGGTGGTGATGCATACGAAAGAGCGATGCATCATCATCTGCGCGCGTCCTGTGGCTATCTATTTGTTTAGAACGGAAGTAGTAATCGCAATCAATCTTGGCGGACGATTCAAGGCCTTGGAGATCTCCAAATACGCTGGCGAGGTGTCCCGACAGGCAGCAGGGGATTCGCCTCTCAACTTCACGTGCATTCGCCTGCGAGGAGGTCTGGTCCGGTTTGGGATCGCAGCTATGTAGCTCTGGATGATCTGATCATTTCGGTGCTCGCAACCACCACAAAATAGAAAAGGGGTGCTGAGCCGGTCAACCGATCACAGCAGTGCGTACCGAATATCACATAGAATGAACATTGGAGTGTCCCCAATATTATTACTGCTGTAGGGACAAGTTCAGCTCCGCGATGTGAATTTGGAATTATTTTGTTTCCTCATCTTCTGATCATGTTCTTCTCTCCGCCACGGTGACACTTCACCTACCTCATTGGTTTCTGTCTAGCTCCCGCGCGGTGAAGATTCCCAGCCTGATGATCTGGTGTGGTTCTCGTTCGTGTTGCTGCTCTGGCGCCCAAGCTGCTGAGACGGATGGACGACGAGTGAGCGTGGGGGCCTCAGATGCGTTGCGGCTGATCGTGCGTGAATTTTCAGTGCATGGTTCTTGTATGTTCAGCGCAGTTCAGCGCGCCACCTCTCAACATTAATTGCTGGTCTGTTCGTGTTTGTTGTTGTTAATTACAGTATTAGGAAAAATAAGTACACACAGACAGAGAGACTGCTGTAGCCTCATTCGAACGGGATGGGATGTTGGGGGCATGTTGGTTGGGATATATATATATATGCACAGCTTGGCAAGAAAAAAATAAACACCGAGCAGTTGCATCTATCTCGTGGCTTGTTCGTGAACCATGAACGCGTGAACGCCCGCTGCTCGCACTTGCGTGCCAGCAAACCAGCAGACCAGCAGCAGCAGACCAGCAGCGGCAGACCAGCAACAGAGGACGAGAGGACGGTCAGCAATAACAACGCCGCCCTTCATTTTTAGGGGCTCAGAGAAATACACCCCCGACGAGGACGGCATCCAAGATGTTGGAGCTCCCGAATTCTCCTTCTAGCCTTCTAGCCCCGGAGCCCGCTGCGAACGACGCGCGCTCCCCAGGTAGGTAGACAGCAGCTCCTTCCTCGTCGCGCACTCGTCGTTTTTGTGTTTGATCGCCATGTCGTTACCACTTCTCTCTGTGCGAGCAAACCTATCCTCGTCAGCGCTGGGTAGCAGCTTGAGGCACTCAGCTTCTGGAAGGTGTGTCAGAAACGTGGTGTGTTCTAGTTTCAGGCGCCGTCGCAGCAGCGGCGACAGCAAGTGCAACCGCCCGCCTACAAGTTGGAGCAGACGAGGTCGAGCTTCTTCAGCGGTGATGGTCACAAGGAGTCAAGCTCCAGCACTATTGCAGTCACGGCAACTATCTTCGGCAGCATCGGCAGCAGCACCAACAGTACTGTTTGGGGACACCATCATCGTCACGAAGCGTTGCGCCGAGGTGAGCAGACCTGTCTTCCCCTCGCCGAACAGTAAGAGGTTTAGCCAGTTGTCCCACATTAGTGACTGAACCTGGCTACGTCAACGAGATCTACAATGCGGGCTGCGTCGCTGCTGCTGCTATTGCTGTTGCTGTTTTTTTGTTGAGTTTGCAACCGCCGCTTTCACCACACTAACTACTGCTGTGTGACAGAATTCAGAGCCTCCGAGCGTTCGAGAACGAACGCTTATTCAACTTCAAACACAGCAACAGCAGCAGCATCAGTATCAGCAGCAGCAGCGGGTGCCACCACCGAGCGTAGACCAAAGCTGCATGTGTTGTCCCCCAACGTAGACGAATTGTTCCCTATTCTACCTGCTGGTATTCCAGACACGCTTCTTCGATTTGAGGGCGCTTCTTTTTTTTTTTTTCTTAGTACTGTACCGTACGCTTTTTCTCTGCCTTCAGCGCTGTAGCGACCAAGTAGCTGCGGCAGCCGTACAGCAGTAGTTAGGACGCACCAATGACGTGACGACATCGCTATAAGTATATGTACCCCTTTTGGACCTTTTTTTTGTGTGTCAACCCAATTGTTGTGGACGTCGGTCCTTGTACACCTTTCGGTACAACAGTTCTGGACGCACCAGCGGGGGGGGTCACACAGGAGGAAGGTCACATGGAGTTTTTTTGGCCGCCTTCCTTCGTGCGGTGCTTGCCTTTGTTTTTGTCGCGAGAAGGATCCAGCCGTTCCTTTCCCTCGTTGAAGTCGATTTTGCACACGCCAGAAATTGTTGGTTTCCACATCGTTTGGGTGTACCGTAGTGAGAAACTATCACAGATACAGATGCATATACGCGGCAGTGTACAGCAGTTCGTGCGACCGCACGGAGATTTGAACTCACGAGGTTTCTTACTGAACCGATCAGCCACTCACTGCTGTTGTGTGACCTACAAGGTACATCATGCAAGATTCGGACGTGCTTGCCGAAAGGCCCCCACGCCCTCAGGGGTACGGTGAGGGCATGCGGTTAACGTAGCTGGTGTTTGGGGTGCTCGGCAGAGTACTGATGTACGGGGTCTCCAGGGGTTACTATGGGTATAATGGACATGATGCGCGGGGCCCCTCTTGCCTTCCCCCGTGTCTATTAGTCGTTATTTATTCCGAAGTATACAAAGGTCTTGAGTCAACTTTCGTTCATTTTCGACCTCTGACGAAGCTGCTATAAAGATGGGAAGGGTTAAAGCCGCTTATACCAAGGGGCACTTTTGAATGGGTCTGCGGACCCGAGGCTCGTTTGTTTTTATGGGGCAACCCAACGTCGCCTTACCACGTACACCAATCATCACGAGACGCTTGCTTACGTACTAACGTACTAACACTGCTGCTCCTGCTGCAGGCTGCTCGCGATTCTTATTTTGCTCTAGAGAGTGATGAAGCACACCAATAATGTTTACAACAGTATTTGCCGTCGACTGCCAACAAGCCGACGAAGTACACGTAGGGAGGGCACGTTGTCTTGTGCTCGTACCGTTTCGTGCGTACCATTCGAACTCACATCCATCAAAGCGACATGTCACGCGTGAAACAACAGAGGTTAAACGAGCTCAGAGAGGCCAAGACGCAGCCGGACCTGAAGCTCCGGCTTTCGGTGGAGGGGGGGGGGTGCTCGGGGTTTCAGTACAAGTTCTCCTTGGAAGACGCGGCGGGGGCAGGTGCGGGGGGGTCGGAAGGCGCCGATAACGATGGGGACGACGATGAGGACAGTGACGATGAGGACGAGAGCGACGTGGACCAGTGAGTCCTGCCGTAGAGACCAGAAAAAGAGTCCTGCAGTGGAGACCAGAAAAAGAGTCCTGCAGTGGAGACCAGAAAAGGGAGGGAGGAATGCTGTTGCGTGCTTTGGGAGATGGCCTATTTACCTTCCCACGCGCGGCAGAGCACCCATACGTAGGGCAAAGACATCATCTATGTTTTAGAGGGGTAGAGCCGGGTAGATGCCGTCCTCCCACCAATCACATGTCGACGATGTAGGACATAATGTAGGAAAGAGACAGATGATTGGGCGATGGCCACGCCGCCGAGCGGGAATCCCCCGAAAGACGTAGCACAGCAGCAGCAGCACGTGACACACGTAGACAACACACGAGACAACCAGCACAGCAGCACACGAGACTGCTGTGGACCAAGGGCAGCCAAAGGCACACGTAATAGGAGGTCTGGTTCGACTGTCAGAGCCGGTTGGCTGCTGTCGGCAGCACCACAAGCGAGAGAGGCGACACAAAATTCACATCTGCTGCTGCTGCATGCTGCTGCTGCAGGCCGATCTTTTGAGCTTGCTACACGGTGGTGCACCCCCTAGCCAAATGACACGTACAAACTGCTGCAGGCCAAGGCGGCCAAAGGAACACATCATACGAAGCATCGAGAGCGATTTTTGAAGCCTGTTTGCCTGCTGTTAGCAGCGTATAAGCGAGTGAAGCAAGTGCACACAAGTCAATCAATCTGCGGCTATCTTCGAGTCTGTCTGCAGGCCAATCTTCTCTTCTTGGTCCACAACAGACCCACCCGCCCGAAAACAGAGAGACAATGAGATGTACACACGCTGCCGGCCAAGGCGGCCAAATACACACACACAATAGAGGGCGTCGGGGGCGAGTTTTAGAGCCCGTTGCCGCTGCTACGAGCGTAAGTGGTGCACACCCACACAGCGACTGCAGCAGCAGCAGCTGATTGACGATGATTATTCATGGGAGCTTCGTCCACACCACACAACACTTTCACTCTTCCCCGCGCTGCTAAACAGCAGCAGTCCTGCGTACACCGCTGACTGGTGGTGTTGGGTGAGGTGTGAGCGTAGCAGTGGTGGCCTCTCTGTGAGGCTCCATCCATATCTATCTACGCCTGCGTCTCTTTCTCCCGCCCGTTCTTTTTCGCGCTTCCCGCGAAATATTTTAATTATTTTTTTATGGAAGCCTATGTATGGGAGTGGAGCCCCACGCGCGCTTGCGGTAGTGTCTCTATATATCAGCAAATCTTGCTTCCTGTTGTTTCGACGTGTTGGTAGGTGTCTCTCCAGATTCGACGAATCTCTTTGTCTCATTTTCAGATTGGTCAGCGATCGCCTCGGGCCCAGAGAGCTGTTACATGTCCCACCACCCAGAAGTACGCGTTCCGCCATAAATGCGTGGCCCCCAGGCCCCTATCATGTTCCCTTGCTTCATGTGGCGCTATGCACGCCAAGAACATGTCTGGCCTGATGATGGCGTGATGGATGCTCCCGGTCGCTCCATTGCGGTGGGATACGTAGGACCACACGAGTCTATACAGCAGTGTGCATTACATTGCAGTAGTATTCCGAAACGGGGGAAGAGAGATACGCACCCTTCAACCACCACCTAGCGGGTGGCGATCGTCACCCTCTTCGTCCCTTAGAGTTTTTTTCGTCTTTTCCTCGACTGACGTGACATTTCCTTGCTCTCTCTACCTACCGCTCTTTCCTTGCTCTCTCTATCTACCACTCTGTCTCCACCTATTCGTCCCCCTATCTCTGTCTCTGCCCCCTCCCCCCCCCCCCTCGGCTCTCTCTGTCTCCTCCTCCTCCTCCCCACCGATATCTCTGTGTGGCCCTCCTCTCTCTTCCCTCTCCTTCGTCCCGCCTCTCGGTGCGCTAACCAACATTGGCCACCTCGTGTTCCATCACATGCACACAGCGAGTTTGAACGGGATGGGGCCGTGCTGGTTGTGGACGCCACCTCGCTCGAGTTCGTCAAAGGCGCAACGGTAAGCGAGCACCGGGACGCGTTTGTCGGTGGCTCAGTAACGCTGGAGTGCCTCTACGCAAGAAGCATCAATACCTTAGGGGCAAGAAAGCGTTATGGTGTTGTCTCTCAACGAAGATACTAGACAGTAGTGAGTACCCCCCCCCTGCTGTCATGGTCGAACTACCAAGGTATACAGGTGCATGATCGTGAGTACACCCTCACACCCCCAGCTCGCTTTTCGAGTGGCCAAAATGTTTGTCGTCGCTTTCCATGCTTTCGTGATGCCTCGGGTACATCTCGGCCGGGTTATTGTGGGGGCGGGGGGGGGCGGGGGCTGTTGGGGTTACTCGGCATGTTGTTACTCAAGCTTGTACCATTTTTTACTTGCATGAATAAGTTGTTTGCTGCTGGCTGGCTCTACTGAAAACTGCAAGCATCTTCAGGTATTTTTCAGTAATTTTTTGTATATGATTGTTTGCGTTCCCCTACGTTGTTGGTTTGAGGTGGCTCTCTACAGGCGAACAGCTTCTTCTTCGTGCCCCACCCTCTTATCCACCCGCCGCAGTGGTAGACCTCAGACAATGCTGTAGCTCTAGATACTGTAGCTATTTGTGTCCTCGCGATTGTCGACCGCGTGTCTGTGTGCTGTACTGGAAGGCCTCGCCTCTAAACCCTGTGCGAACATTGCACCAAGAGGGCTGGCCTCAACGTTGCAGACGAGTAACTCACACAACCTTCGAGCTCAAAGCCCATCCCGTCCCCCACCCCTCCCTCCTTGACCCATCGACGCTCGGCATGAAAAACGAAAAACTAATACATGTAAATGTGGCAGGTGGACTTTGAGGAAGACATGATGCGAAGCGCGTTCGCCGTGCTCAACAACCCGGTGTCGGAGAGCGCGTGCGGGTGCGGCAGCTCCTTCGCCCTCAAGAATTTCGAAAAGAACCCCGCACTCGACTGAACGACTCCGCCGTCAGCGGCTCTTGCTTTACCCCCTGCCGTATCCTTCACCACCGACCGCGGCAATAGAGGGAGGCTGTCCATCGTTGATCGTTTAGTCGCTCTGGTTCGTCAGTGTCCATGCTAGTACGAAGACGCCGCTGGTGTGAGGCCGGTTGTGGATGGAACACGCTCGTGCTGTTTGCTTGGGATTCGTGCCTAGCCGACCAGAAGGCTAAGGACTCCAGTCGTAGCGGAAACGACCGCCCCCCTGAGCTGGCTGGCGACACCGCAGCAGCCGATTCTGTTTGACATGTATTTAGAATACAAACGACGAATTTTCTGTGCGAACTCTGCGCGCCTGTCCGGGAGGTGGTTTGTGGTTGCGTCTTGGAAGGCCGAAGCCCCCCCCCCCCCCCTTATTTTTTGTGATTCGAAATTTTGTCCAGCGCATGCTCGGTGTAATGTTCAGTTTGTGCTTTTCTGTTGCTCAGGTGTGACTTGTGTTTCATCTTGTTCGGACGGCCGTAGCACGAATTGGGAAGGAGGTCGTTTTCAGGACAGTACTACTGCGTACGATATATACAAGACTCATACATGCTGTGTACAGGTTCCGTAATGGTTTTATGTGTGCGTCCAATTGTGAGTGGGCGTTTTCTCTGTTGTGGGGCTTGGCCTTCTGCAAACAAACAGCGGGTGACATACACGACCCTCTTACCAACTGCGGGGGCACCGTCTCTCTCTCGTAATTCCTCTTGCACGCAGCTATGTCTACGCGAACTAAGAACAGAGGTGGACTGCTGTTACAAGCAAACGCAGACGTTAGTTTCAACAACCAATGTCGCTATTTTTGCGAACGTGCGTGGCTTTGCCCAGGTCTCCTGAACCTTCGACATGCATACAAACGCACCCATCACGTTCGGCTGATACCACACGCAACGATAGTCGCGTGTGTTAGCCTTGTGTGGAGGACATTTGGGGTCCCCTTTCGTCCTCTCGAACTTTTCATTTGTCACCCCGGGATCCGCCATACCAAATCCAATTCTTTGGAGGATGCGCTTAGACTCCACGGCGCTTGAAAACTGCCAGCACAGAGGGTGTTGGTGAGCGCGGGCGAGCACTGCCCACTCTGACAGACGACTACCGACGTACTCGACCCGCGGTTCAATCCCAGCTCTACACGTGAAGAAGTGCGCGTCCTAGCAGCTGGAACGCAGACACACGTTCGGTGGCATACTTCATGCCCTCCTTAAGCGTTGTCCGCGGAGGTTGCAACTTCCGACTGCGGCGGCGATCGTGCTGGGGTAGTGGTAGTGGTCGTTGGAGGAAGGGGATGACTGAGGAAGCCCGAGGTCTTGACGATCAACGCAGTTATGTCGTCCGAGCCGCCTTTTGTTGCGGTCGCCCACTCGGACAGGGATCTGCGGCAGATGTCCGCGCTAAGCGCCTGAGGGCACCAGGAGTCGTCGACCACGTGAGCTTCTGCAGCCTGGACACGTTCGTTGGTATGCGTGGAGTTTGACTGCCATGCAATTAATCGGGTTGTGTTGGTGCTAGGCGTTGTGCTCTTTTCATTTGTGACATCGAAAAGGCACTTATTTATCCTCCGGATCCGCCGTGAATCGATCCATGTTTCGATCTGTGCGTGCATCGGGATTCATGTTGCAACCTGTAACGTTTTCCCCTCTGAGAAACAAATAATAAAAGCACCTCGTTGAACACATTTCGGCGTACTCTCAGGGGTTTGAACGCCCGCACCTTACGGATGTCTTCCGCGCTCAAAACATCCCAAACCCCGTCGGAGGCGAAAACGAGCATCACGTCGCTCCGTTTGTCTAGGTCGAACTCGGTTATCTCGGGTTCGTAAGTCACGCCCACGCTGTGGGCCATCTGGCAGAGTCGGAATGAAACGGAGGAAACAGAAGCAAGCACGACAGGGTTGATTCGTGCACTGTTCTGGAACTATGTAGGATGGAACAACCTCGTAAACCTGAGAGCATACTACATGACAACACATCCACCGGTGACGGGGGGCCCTCCAATCCGTCCGGAGCGAACCTCACGTGGACTGTCCCCGGAGCTACAGTTACTACCGCAACAACAGAGCACAAATCGACAGGATCCTTTGACGACAAACATGCGAAACGTGGCCAAACGCGAGCAGGTAGGTCCTACAGCACGACAGCACCGCCATGAGAGTGCCGTTCTAGAATCTTGAGAAACGAGGCGCGTGTCCTCGCCTTGTCGCCAATGGACCTGCTCATCGCCAGCCCAGGACCGTCGCCGCTTGCGGTCCACACCCTCGGGATCCCCGCCGCAATCCCTCTTGCTGCCGTTTTTAACCCTTTCTTCGAGCCTTCCGCCGTTGGCGGAGCCCCTCCGGTGACACCACCTGCCCCCGAACCGCCGCCACTGCCACTCCTGGGGAGAGGGAAAACAATCCCGCCGGCGGCCCGGATCCTCTCCAGCTCGCCCTTGCTCTCCGGTTTGTGGTCGCGCGACAGCCGCTCCGTGACCAGCCCCCCGCCCCGACTGCCTCCTCCAGGTGCCGCTTCTTCACCAGCAGCCGCACCCGCAATTAACTTCTCCGCTGTTCTCAACCTCCTCCTGTTGCTCGTGCCGCCGCCCCTTGCGCCCCCGGCTTTGTCTACGACATCAGGCGTGCCACGATCACTGGCAAGCGCGGCTTTGCCGGGAATAGCGGCGGCGGCGGCGCTGGGCGAGGCAGAAGAGCCGCTGCTTGCGGCAGCGGTACTGCGTGATAGGCGCAAGCAGCCGGAATCTCCGACGTTCGCGACCGTGAGCCGTCGCCCCGCGAGGACTGCCGCGCACAGAGTCGTCCCGCTACGACCGCAGTCGCCGGCAACCCCGGTGGCGAGATCGTGATGCAAACGTTGGCAGCTTCGCCTGAGTCGATTTCGTGTCGGGTTGGGGGGGGGGGGGGGGGTACCACCACACACAATAAATGAAGATCGTGTAATGGGGGGGGTGTCAAGAACAATTTATAATGTCCACATCATCGTAGGACACGAAATCGACTAAACATAGCGCTCGGTACGCAGGCACTAACCATCGTCCGTGCCACATATTTTTATGTGACCAAAGGAGCGTGATCGAACAGGTGTTCGGGTTGTTCTTTCCCGTCCGGGAACGCCCGCGGGTGGTACTGTCAGAGGAGTGCGTCCACATGACGTTGGGTGGTGAGGCAAACTTAGTGCCCGTACCGCGGTTTCTTGAACAACGAGGATGAGTCTCGCGCACATACTGCTCACCGGAGCGCCGACGCGGGACTCCCAGATTGAGAAGAAGCAGACGCCAGGTGCTTGGGCAGGCGTTCCATGCACTCGCGAGATGCTTGCCCCCCGTTCTTCCCGTGACCTTTACAGCGCAAGGCGTTGTACGGTAAGCGTCGCGACGTGGTTTCTATTGTTGAGATCTCGTCGTAAGAGCAGGGTCTAGAGAAGGTCGTGTGTAAGACGTGACTGAAGTTCGAGCGAAGAGTTATATCTACGAGCAGGTCCACGTGTCCCTGGAGCACTCGGCCGACTCTCTCTTTCTCCCAACGTGTTGCTGCGCCAAACGCTGGGAGCTAGCTACCTGGCGTCGTGCAACGACGTATGAGCGGTCTGTGTAAAAATGTTGCTGTTTCCGAGTGGTGCAGCGCGATTGTGTAGAGCCGAACCATGATGAATACGCTGAGCGCCCTCACCATCAAAAATAGCAAATAGAGCTTGGCCCTCCCTCCGGTCGAACGGTGCGATGACAAGACCAGCATCCTGGTTTTTCCATAGAGGGTCATGCGCCTGTGACACGCGCACAGGGGGCATTCGAGGGAGTACATGGCCAAGGCAACAGGCGACAAAAGCCCATGCTCGGAAAATGTGCGTGTGCGCCGACGTATGCCGCGCAAGATCTATCGTGTGAGCCTACGCCGGATGCGGCCAGCGTCGAAGTGCTTCCTTCGGCACGTGCAGGGCCAGCTGCAAGGTGTTGTGAGATTTACACTCAAAGAGAGAAAATAATTCTGCCTTTTTCCTGTCATGGTTTCTTTCCTTCCCGTTTGGAGACTTCCCGGAGTAATACAGTCCCGTGGTACCGCCTTGACCCACAGATTTGGAACCTAGACACGACTGGGGAGCAGACGATTAGCATGAGTGCAACGAACAACTGCTCTCCTCCCCCCGCCGCCTGTAGGTATGAACCGTAGGTAGTACCTCGTCAGCATGACTGTCACACCACGTAGTACTTGTACGTAGAACGACAGCCATACAGATGCAAAGGTATCGTGTTGTGAGACGTCGATGTAGCGGTCAATATTGTCCTCACACTTAAAAACTCGTTCTGATCTCCATCCAGTTCATCCTCTTGTATACTTTTCAAGAATCATCGCCCTTGGTGTCACAAGCCAACCCCAAGGAAGGTACTATTCTATGAAAACAAATATGTAGATGTCAAGTTTCCATCAAGTTCATCTGGATCGAAGGGTAAGCTCTCATCAAAAAGGTGAACCTCTTGCTCACCTTCTCTCCTGCAATGGAGTAAATGCCAACATTGGGTTCCGTTGAGCCAGCCGACGCCCACCGACCCTCCAGCCTGACCATGACGTTGCTAGCTTCCGATATTGCGGCTTCTCCCTGTCTATGGCGACCACCTACGGTAGAAGATGATCCACTGTCGCTGCCACCATCTCTGATTTCGACCCCGACCCCAACGCCATCACCTCCAGTATCACTCGCCGCAGCGTTGGTGCTACCACCCACGCTAAGAGCCTTTCCTCTCCACGCCGTAGGAGGGCATGGCAATTGCTTCGCGCTCCATGAAGTGTCAATGTAGATGTAGCTCTTGCGTTTGAGCAGTTCGTTGACACTGCGAAGCTGCCCAGCAACCGACGAGTGGAGCTCGGATGCCCTTGCCAGCAAATCGTCATCCTGTTCCCCTCCCTCTGTTCCTCTTGCGCCACCGATTCTAGTGCCTTTCGCGGCTAGTTTTCTGTGCCACCTTCCCTCCTCGTTGTCGTTTTCCTTCTCTTCCTCGTCATCTTTGTCGTCGTCACCATCGTTCAAACCTTCCGCCAGTGCAAACGAGACTCTTTTCTTCCCGACGACATCCGCTTCGATCGCCGTGGTCCTTGTAGTACTACTATCGATTTTTTCTGTGTTCCTGCTACGACTGCTTGTCGCCCATGCGTCAGGCCCCGCCGCCGCCGCTGCTGCTGCGGCTGCAGCATTGCTTGCTTCAGCGAGTGCCTCCTCCTCTTTCCGTACGCTTGAGTCAACCACTGCTGTTCCACAGGCCGCGTCTCGCTGGCGAGCCCATCTCAATTTCGCGGTGGCAGCGTCGGCGACGGATGATCGGCGTGGCAGTTTCCCACCAGGATATCGACGTATTCGTGGTTGTGCCTCGATGCCTCGTTGCGCCGCAGCTGCCAGTCGCGATGTGCCCGCCGGTACTGACACAGAACCCCCATCGAGGTCTGGCAACCTTGGGGGGAAAGCGTTGGAAATATCTCCTGCCCCCCCGGCTCTTACCCCTCCTCTTGTTTCTCTTGCTGGCGGCCATCGCCCTGGACTCGCTCGGGGAGAATGCGTCATATGATGTGTTTGGTTCTGTTCGGCACTACCACCGCGGCCAGAATCAACAACGCCATTTGGGTGCATTGAGCAATCCAAATGTGAAGACTTTACCGGCGCTTGTTGGCCTAATCTGGCTGCGACGGGAACATGAGATCCTTCGTTCTTTGGGTGCCTCTTGGCGTTCCCATTTGCGGTGGCCACCTGTGAATTGCTGCCAAATAAGGTTTGTCTGCCAAGTGCCGCGTCACAGAAAGGACTTTTGATGGGGACATTCGCGTCGGTGCTACGCTCATCATTCCCACCACTGCGTTCTTCCTCCTCTTCTCCCACGTCAAAAGCCATCAGTGCCAGGTCTAGAGCATCCGGACTTAGCACTATTGATTGGTGCTGCGACTTGTGGGAGCATGGTGACGATGGACCAGTCCCCTGGCGGCGGCTTCGCGCGTTCGCGTCTTCATGTTCCAGACCTACGTCGAAGATGCCGTCGTCAAGGTCTCCCACGCAAGGAAAAGAGAGGTCCATGAGTCGGGGTACGGGCACGGCCGTACCATTGTGTAACCCACAAGGTTACTTGGATAGCCAGACACACGGTAGGTCCTCAACGAAACAATGAACAAATCCTGTTTGCTCTCCGAGCTGTTCTGAATCCACGCTTTGACGCTTTGACCCAACCCTGTGCTGCATTGGTGTCTGACGATTGAAGACCAAGAGCTCGAAGCTAGAAAGGCACGTTGCTAGTAAATCCCGGAAATCGTGGCACAGCAACACGAGACACGAGCATCGGCAGCCAGTATCGTCGGATGCGGCGAGAACCTATAGGTGCGGAGTAATTACACAGGTTTGATACATTTTGAGCGCGTTTTTTTTCGGAGAACTGAAAATTGCGCCGCATCTCCGTCAGCACGATGCAGGTTCACACGTTCACACGTTCATCCACTTCGTGTGTCACACTGCTGTACACACCGACGGGAGAGGGGGGAGCAGATAATTGAACGGCATGTCACTATTACTAAACCTTGGCCGCAATGGAATGCTCCAGCGACGGGCAGGTCCATTGTTGTTCACACCTCGGGCAAAGGCGGTACCAACACCAGCAGCAGCAGCAGCAGCAATTGCTAGAGGAGCATCGAGTAGCCGGGCATCCGCTGCCTCTACCTCTAGAGAAGCGGAGGGCGCACCTGGTACCGCGGCGGCGGTGCAATCATCGGTCGAGGAAGAGGTGCGACGCATTCGAAACATCGGGATCATCGCGCACATCGATGCTGGCAAAACCACCACCACGGAGCGCATCTTGTACCTCACTGGGAAGATCACACGTCAGGTGGGCCAAGGCTACTGCTGTATAGCAGTAAAGCAGTACAGCAGGAGCGCAAGTGGTGAGCACAACTCTTGCTTCATCCGAAGGGCCGGCTGAGGTAGCTCACCTATAGCTCGATGCCTGCACATGAGTTTCATGACCGCCTTACAGGCATTCCTTGCTGCCAGTGCTTGCTGGTTCTGTGGATCAAACCGCACCTGCTGATCGTTAATTCGGGTGGCTCGGTTCTTTGTGGTTGGAGCTCAAAGCGGGTGGCTCATGGCGGAGCGTGGATGGGTAGGAAACGTGTTGAAAACGTAATGCAAAAGTATTGGAAAGTATTGTATTCATCGGGGGCGTGCCAGTGCTCGTCAAACCTTCACGGTATCTGGGCACGCCTTCACTCTTTGTCACTCAACGAATCTCTCTGAATCTCCACCAAATACCTCTCGCAACCAAGGAATATATGTAGAAAGTTCCTATCCCTCCGCATCTCATTGCTGTTACTTTCGTACGTACGTACCGGACATCTCAACCGTCATACTATGCTACGAGTACTCCCAATATATCTAATAGCCCCCCTACTCGTATGCATCGTCATGCTCCGAGAAAAACCAAATTCCTCTTTACCATCTCTCCAAAACAAACAAAAACCAATATCTTCACCAAAACAATCCAAAATCCTCCAAGTCCATCACAAGAAAAATCAAACACAATCAAAACTCCTCCAAAACAATCAAGAAAAACTAAACACAACAACTCCTCCAACCTTCACCAGACTCTCTCTTTTCTCTTGTCCAATCTCTCGTCTCTCTCACTCTCTCCATCACAGAATACGAATCGACCCCAAAACACTTCCTTCACTGCAAGTTCATCACAAAGTCACGGTGCAACGCAAAAGACTCCTTGCTAATGGCCTTCGTCAAGAAATCTGCATGCTGAAATTGCGTCGGCACATGAGTAATTGAAATCTCCTTCCTCTCTACCAGCTCCCTGATAAAGTGATGTCGTACATCGATGTGTTTCGAGTTGGAGTTCGTGATCGGGTTGTGCGCAATCTGAATCGCTCCCTGATTATCCTCGAACACCGGGATGCACGGCATACCTGCATCTGGCAACATAAAACGCCACACCTGCCTCAGGAACAACACTTCCTTCAAGACATCGGCAATTGCCACATACTCTGCTTCCGTGGTGGAAAGCGTGACACACTTTTGTGTCCTCGAAAACCAAGTCACACACCCTCCCCCACACATCACTAGCCCTCCTGACACCGATCTACGGTCTGTCGCCTTGCTTGCATAGTCGGCATCCACAAACACCTGCATGCTCATCCCTGTCACTACTCCCCTCTCAAATGTAATCCCCATCCAACTCGTCCTCCTTACGTATCCTAAAATACCGAGTGCTGCCTTCCAGTGCACCATTTTGGGAGATGCACAATACCGCGCTACTGCCCGTACTGCGTTCGCGATGTCCGGCCTTGTTTGGGTGGCCAACCACATCAGAGATCCTACCAACTCGCGAAAAGGGACATCAGCGCACGCTTCGTTCTCGTCAAAGTCGGTAAGCTTCACGCTCACGGGCAAGGGCACACTCCTCCCCCACTCAATGCCGTACTCTGCAGCCAACTCTTCGGCAAACCTCTGCTGCGAAATCCTCAACAGCCCTCTCTCTACGTCTCTCTCGTAAAAGCACGCGGAGTACCACCTCAACTCTCCAAGGTTCTTCACGGGGACCATCTCGTTGAGATCCCTGCCAAACTTGTCACACCTCTCCTTCTGCCCTACAGCAAAAATGTCATCCACGTGGACCACGATGATCATGATCACACGTCCCTCCTCCATCAATCGAAAAACACATGCATCCGCCAGACACTGCAAAAAACCTAAAAGTAACAAACACCTCGTCAGGTGCGCATGCCAATGTCGTGATGCCTGCTTCAAACCATACAGACTCTTGCACAGCTTCACGATCAGGCCAGATAACCTACCACACCCCTGCGGTAAGCGCATGAAAACATCCTCATCAAGCTCAGACTGCACAAAAGCCTGCTGAATATCAAAATGGCACAAGTCAAGATTCTGCTCACATGCTAATGCTGCCAACAAGCGCACACTAGACACTGATACGGTGGGTGCAAACAATTCTCCAAAATCAATCGAAGCCCTCTGCATGTCCCCCCGCGCTACAAGTCTTGCCTTGAATTTCGTCGGCCATCCATACTCGTCTGCCTTACAGTTGAATACCCACTTAGCATTGATGGCGTTCTCTACTGGTTGCTACACCGGACTAAAAGTTCCTGCATCCAACAAACCGAAAAACTCTCGACCGATTGCATCATTCCATAACTCTGAATGTTGAGACCGCATGGCCTCGTTGAACGTCTTCGGCTCGCGGAGGTCGCTGGCCATGCAGTGCGGAAGGTCAGGCATCTTGTCAGGAGGACGCTGGGCGGGAAGAGCGGCGTCCACATCCTCGGGGGTGGCGAACATCGTTGCTGAACATTTGCGGTCTCCCCCCCCCCCCGGAATCCACGGGCCCCCCAGCTCCCACAGCCCCCCCGCTTCCACGGCCTCCAGGACTCGGATCCGGCTGCGGCGGGGGCGGTAGGTCGCGGCGTCCTTGATCCACGGCCTCCCGGGTGGCGAGCGACGAGATGAGGGTGTCCTTGTCCATCATGTCCAACAGCTCAAGGCGGTGGTGGAGAGCGGTGCCGCCACTGGGTGGCGACGGCGGTTTTGGTTGCTCATCCATGAACCGCACTCCATCGCCGCGTGTGCGGCCGTGAACCCTCGTGTCCTCTCGTCCCAACTCCTTGACGGCTCGTTTCGAAAGCGGCGGGTGCGGAGGAGCGGGGACGGCGGCGCCGCCGGAGCACT